CCCTCCCTCCCCGCCCCCAGTCTTCTCTCTCTTTCTCCTAACCACCCCTCTTCCTGGCCACCATGATGTGAGATCTGCTCCATCACATGATGTCCAGCCTCTCCACAGGCCCAGAGCAACAGGATCAAGTGAACGTGGGCCGAAGCCTGCGGCCCAGGAGCAAAACCAACCTCTCCTCAGCTCAGGTGTCTTGTCACAGCGACAGAAAACTGACCAACACACCCAACATTCTTAAACTCTAACCTCTTGACCACGCATGCATTAGCTCTGTGTTCCCTGCCTGCCTCCTCACCACCGGGCCCCCATCTCCGCAACACCCCCCTGAACCTGTCTCCCTTCTGCTTGGAGCTCCTCCCCTGTGTGTTCCTTCTAGTCTTTTGTACTCAGTTTAAATATCTATTCCTCATGGATGCTTTCTATGCCCATCTGCCTTTCTTTCTGACCAGCCTAGAACACTGTTTTCTAGTCCAGCCTCCCTTTCCCTTCAGAAATAGTGCCACAGTTTCTAATTATTGACTAGTTGGTTTCCTACTTCCTACAGCAGAATTTCTCAACCTCAGCCCAGTCCCTATTTGGGGTTGGACAGAGGAGCTGCTGGATTGCCTGCACTTTGCAAGATACTGGCCAGCATCCCTGACAGTAGCCCACCTGATGTCAGTGCCATACGCACAGCTGTAACGACCAGAAAGTCTCCAGAAGCTGCCAGATACTCCCTAGGAAAGGAGGAGGGCAGAACTGCCCTAGTTTGGGAAACAGGACCATGGATTGCAGCCCCTTGTCTGTCTGTTCACAGTCCCTCTCCAGCACACAGTGGGTACCGAGTACACACTGTTGAGTGAGTGTTGACTCTTGGTCAGCTCTTACACACTCATCGCTCACCGTCTACAGCCTCCTCACAACTATAAACACTCTCCCCTTTAGACCCCTGTTTTTTATTCTTACCACTCAACAATTGCTTGACGTTGACTCGGACCTTGGCAGAGAAAACTCTGAAACTGTCAGCTTTGACCTGGGATGAACATTGCCCTTCACCTGGCTGAGAGGTTTCACCATCCCAGGTGCATCCTCTGATGACCCAGCCCAAGGCCGGCCAAACTGGACATCCCATCCAAGCTCACCGACACCACAGCATCCCCCACTCCCTCACTGCTGGGTCTCTGTCCTCCCTGACGTTGAACCAGCTTAAGGTTTCACTCACGCTTCTGTCCCCAGCATCTGATGCTCAACCTGCAATCTGATGCATGTGATCAATGTGGCGACCAGACCTGACAAACGGATGGGAGATAATAGAGCCACATGATCATTTAACAGTGTCCCGGTGAACACTGCCTCCCTAAACTGTCACCTTGAGGGCCTGGGCATCTGTTCAAATGCTGCTGACATTTCTCAAAATACTCTGACCTTTTTTTAGGGCAGGGCTCTCAGAGCCAACCTCCTCAGCCATAAGAATCTGGCTCCTGTCACATTCCACATCACACTCCCTTCAAGTCCTGAGAGTCACATTGACTTCCCTCACCATCTCATCTTATTAACCAAATGTGATCCTTCCATGACTACTTCTGTGGAAAGAAGAAAATCAAATCTTCTCTGAAAAAACAAAACGAAGAAAGGTGGGTGTGAGGAGGCTGAAGACAGAGCGTGTGCGAGGGGCTCTGGTGCTGTCTGGGCAGTGGCTTATCCTGAGAGCTGCACCTCCATATGTCCTTCCTGTGGATCGGGGATTCTTGGCTGCTGGTCAAACTCAATCTCATCTGCAAACTTATCAAAGCAGAGTACACCAGGGTCTGGAGAAGATGGCTCAGGCAGCAAAATGCTTGCTCTGAAGCTTGAAAACCTGAGCTCAGATCCCTAGCACCCACATGAAGAGCTGGGTGTGGCCGTGTGCCTGTAATCCCAACCCTGGGGAAGGAAGGGCAGAGGCACTGGGTCCCTAGTCAGTGAGCTCCACGCTCAATGAGAGCACCTGTGTCAAAAATAAGGTGGAGAGTGATTGAAAGACACCTGACAATGACCTCTGGTCTCTATACACACTTGTACACATGTGCACCTGTGCCCACACATGTGCGCGCACACACACACACACAAATGTATACACACATACAAATAAATAGAGTATACAACTATATAGTAAGCATCTGTGCTAGACTTTTTATCCCTGTGGCAAAACCTGGGAGAAACGGGCTTGAGAGGAAGGATTTGTTTGGGCTCAGGGGTTCAGGCCCACAGTGACCTGCTCCATTGACTGAGGTGAGACTGAACATCATGGAGAGGGGGGATAAGGCAGAGCAGACTAGATCACTTATGGTGGATAGCAAAAGAGAGGGAAGGGGGGGGAGAGGGAGAAAAAACCAAGACAGGGGACAGATACCCAAAGGACATGTCCCTTGTGACCTACTTCCTCCAACCAGGCCCCACTTGATTACCAGTGGATTGATCCCCTGATTACATCAGAGGCCTCATGATCCAATTGCCTCCTGATGAATGGATCCACCAGCTGGGGACCAACCTGTCAATACACAGGATTTTAGAAGGCATTTCACATCCAACTCTTGAGAATGACCCAGCCCAGTGAGGCTGGTGTGCAACAGCAGAGTTAATTGGACAGGTTGACGATGGTCAGATAGAGAAGAGCAGGATGCACAGCTTCAGATGACTGTGACACAGGACTGGGAAGGTGTCACTGTCCTCCCCAGGGCCTATCTTCTGTTGTCATGATGCCCGATCATAGAAAGTGTCCCCTGGTCTGGAAAGGGGGCCCCCAGCATGTGGTGCCATCGCCCTGGCCTAGGGAGACAAGAACACTGAGGTCTCCCTGGTCTAAACCCTCTTGGCCCAGGTCCCCGAGCCTAACCACTGGAGTTCCCAAGAGCACACCTTAAAATCCAGCATGATGTCCCGAAGCTGCAGTCTCCTGTCCAGGTCCAGCTGCAGAGAGACGGGGCTCACATCTGGAGGGACAAGAAGATATTGGATCAGACTTTCCCCTCCCAGCCCTCAGAAGGCCCAGGACAAGACCAGGTCCATGCAGCCTTGACTCTGAGCCTCCTCTAGAGGAGGAAAGGACCAGTGTGCTTCTGCTCCTGTCCCCATCCAAGTCTGTCCTCAGTCAGACTCCTTCCCACCCTCTCCAATGCCTGTGATACCCCAGAATGTTCCAATCTGCCTGTCACAAACAGGTCTGTTTCCAGGCCTCAAGTCCCTCCACGTGCCCACGGAGAACTATCTCCCCACATACCCTCTCCCCAACCTAAGTCTTCTGCCTACAGCATCCAGCAGACCCACAAAGCAGAGCCGGAGGGTTCTCCTGCCCACTCCCCACCCTTTGTCACAGGAACAAGCCTGGAGACCGAAAGCATCTGGAGCGCCTCCACGGCCCCAGCCGGAGGAGCCTCCACAGCCACGGGCTCCCGCAGGCAGCAGGTCTCACCGTTCCGTGACTGCCACCAGCGCATGGGGCCTGAGGACGACACGACGTTCTCCACTCGGTGACTGTTGTAGTTGTGAGGCAGTCTGGAGTCACACTTGCAGCATTTCATCTGCCACTGTGGGGGAGACGAGGGAGATGGAGAGCTTGGAGGGGTCCCAGCACACGTCCTCTGGAATCCCATCCTCGGGAACCCACGGATGTCACCAGCACACGGGGAAGGATGAATTTCTTAACCCCAGGCTAGTGGTCTTCTCCTAAGCTTTTATTTACTCATATGTATTAGCGTTCTGCCTGCATGTATGCAAGTGTACCCTTGTGCAATATGCACGGAGTCCAGAAGAGGGCACTGGGCTCCTGGAACTGGAGTTATGGGTGGTTGTTAGCCACCATGTAGGTGCTGGGAACTGAACCCAGGTCCTCTGCAAGAGCAGCCAATGCTCTTAACTGCTGAACCATCGCTCCAGCCCCCATGCATATGAATTTAGCACTTGCTAGCCACTAGGCATGACCGAGGATGTTTATATCTTGTTTAATATTAGCAATGAAATGGGAGATGGCTGAGGTTTTGTTTCTTTGGTTTTTTTGAGACAGGGTGTTGTCATGTAGTCCAGGCTGGGGGCTTCTCCTGCCTCAGCCTCCTGAGTACTAGAAACTTCCTTCCTGTACCCAAAGTGTTTGACAAGGTCGGGGCAGGGGGATCAATTATCAGTATTAAGAAGTAGCTTGTGCCTACGGCGCCTCAGGAGCCTGAAACAAGTTTAGTCAACATAGGGAGACCTAGCTCTTTCGTTTGTTTGTTTTGAGACTTCACTGTGTAGCCCTAATTGGCCTAAAACTTGTTTTGTAGACCATCCCAGGCTGGCCTTGATCTTTCAAAGATCCACCTGTCTCCTAATGCTGGGATTAAAGTTGTGACCACCACACTGGGCCCAAGACTTACCTCTTAAGAGTGTAAAATTAAATGATGGAGTGCTAACCAGGTGCCAAGAGCTACATTAGGTAATTTACATGTAAGACCCTTCCAAGGGGCTGTCTCGGTAGAATGCTTGCCTAGTCGGCATGAAGACCTAGGTCCAAGCCCCCAGTATGACATAAAGCTGGGTGTGGTGACACATGTCTGTAACCATCTACTCCAGAGCAGAAGGCAGGAGATGCTGAAGTTTAAAGCCATCATTGGCCACTTAATAAGTTCAAGGACAGTTGTGGGATACATGAGGTGTGGTGGCCACACCTTTAGTTCCAGCACTTGGGAGGCAGAGGCAAGCGGATCTCTGTGAATTCAAGGCCAGCCTGGTCTACATAGCGAGTTCCAGGCCAGTGGGGGCTAAAGGGAGCCCCTTTCTAAAAAAAAAAAAAAAAAAAGAATAAAGAAAAACTATTCAATTTTCACAGCAGACCTCAGAGGTAAGTAGTATTCAACCCACTTCACAGACGAGAAAGCTGACGCTCAAAAAGGCAGCCTGACTTTCATACTTACCAATTTCCAATATCCACACAAAAGGGTCCCTTCTCCCTGCTCCCCTCCCTGTCTCTCTCCTCTCGACTACTCACTTCTCCAGGACATCTGCTGAGTGGCAGACTCACAGGAAGCCTGCTAAGGTTTACCATCTCTGTCTCATTCACTGAGCCCCAAGCAGCCCCTGTGCTGACCCTGAGCTGACCTTGGGGGAGCCCACAGCACTCTGGGAAGGACCCACCTTCTCCAGCTGGCCCCACTCAGCTACCATGGAGCCTGGAGATGTGCCACCGGCTGGCATACCTGGGTGTTTACATCATCCTTTTTGGGCAAGAGAAGAATAGAGCAGGATGCCCCTCTAGACACTGCTGTGGTCCTTGGCAGGGGATGTGCCCTTCTCCACATCACCTAGCCTCCTGGGCAAATTTTCCACTCCCATTCTGTCTGCACTCAGCACATGTCTGGAGGAGGGACAAGGGCCAGCTGCCTTCTTCTGGCAGATGCTGTCGCCAGAGCTCCCCACCCCCCAAGCCCTCTGCTGGGAGCTGAGCCCAGCCCTTGCCTGGCCAGGGCAACATCCAACACAAGGCTCTTTCTTTCTTAGCCTGAGCCGTGGAACAAGGGACCAGAAATGGCCTTAATACTCCCAAGTGACAGAATATTATGTAACTATTAAAAGGAGTTTAGAGAAACATTTTAATTGCATCGTGGAGGGATCTCATAATGTTTTATGGGTAAAAAGTTAAGAGAATAAATTTGTATACTTATTATGATCTCAGATACATTTTTGAGGACACAGACCATGTTGGGAAGGAGATAAATATGCCACGACAGATGAAAATGCCCATTTTGACCATGTCAACAGCAAACAGTTCAACTTAACATACTTAATATCCCTGTAAACAGGATAGTAGGTGACTTTTCCCTTCTTTTATTATTTTTAATGTTTAAAATTCCATATCTTGAATATTTATTGACTTTTGTAGTTCTGAATATAGATAGCATTATGAAACAAAGTAAAGATGCCCAGGGTCTGTGTGGGTTCACTGCCCTGCACAGCCCCCAGTCATCACAGGGACAGTGTGGAGGGCCTCCCACCATCTCCACTACCCTTCCACATGCACAGTCACTGATGAGGGATCTGATGGCCTCATGGACTCAAGACACTGACTGTGTGCTGCTGTAACATAGCAACGGAGGGATCTAGCTTTGCCTTCGAAGGCAGGCTGATCCCTGACTTCAGACAGGTATTTTAAGTAGCTCTGCTGACTTGCCAGCAGGGTAGGGCCTGAAATAGAACAGTCACGACAGGAGCTCAGCAGAAGCCAAGTTGTGGGCTTGCCTCTGACCTTGGCTTCCCTCTCCGTGTGATGTACATATATGTATGTTAGTGGGAGAGGCTCTCCTCACATGTGGTAAGTCCCTCTTTCTCTCCAGCAATGGATGCTCTCAACAGCTGTACTACCCACAACAGCTGCGCTGCCCACCCTGGGGTCCCGTGCACACTACCCCAAGATGGAGCATTCTTACCCATCCAGCCTGCCAGGCCTCCAGCCAGTTTGGCTCCTGCCTGCTCTCCAGCTGCAGGGCTGGGCCTTCACCCTTCTCCTGGAGCTTTCTAGAAGCTCAGCAGTCTGATGGGAAGATAATTTCTTCCAGAGAGCTAAAGGAAGGCGGATGAGCAAGTGAGAACCTAGGGTTTGAGTCACTGTGGAGAAGGAAGAGGGATGCACAGGAAGGCTCTCCAGAGCCAAAGGGGAGAATAGATAAGCAGGCTCTGGTCAGTCATGGTGGGGCCTCTTCGGGAATGACTCCAGGGCCGCCTGTGTCTATCGGAGAAGCTTCAGACACGGTCATGGCCACCAGCCAGGGCCTGAAGGAGGAAGCCAGGACCAAAACAAAACAAAAATTCCATCTGCCCTCAAGAAAAGATGGGGGGGG